TAGAATAGAATAGAATAGAATAGAATAGAATAGAATAGAATAGAATAGAATAGAATCTGGAAGGGACCTTGGAGGTCTTCTAGTCCAACCCCCTGCTTAGGCAGGAAACCCTACACCACTTCAGACAAATGGTTATCCAACCTCTTCTTAAAAACTTCCAGTGTTGGAGCATTCACAACTTCTGGAGGCAGGTTGTTCCACTGATTAATTGTTCTCACTGTCAGGAAATTTCTCCTTAGTTCTAGGTTGCTTCTCTCCTTGGCTAGCATCACCCTTATCCCTTCCACCCAACAGATCAAACCAGGCCAACTACAGTAATTCAGCCTTGTTTCTTCCAATGACTTCATCGTGTCAACCAAAGGAGACCCTCCCCCATCCTTCCGAAGGCCAAGAGGCCGAATGACAGCCTTCCAGTTTACCCTAGAAACCATGGGTTTCTCCAAATGATGGCACTCACCGATGAAATCTATGGCTTCCTGGAACCATATGCTGATATCGGCCATGTGATTGTCTTCTACTGGAATGCTCTTGTACAGGAAGTGTCCTTCAAAGTAGTTGGGACAACTGGAAGAGACGTTAAGGACCGCTGTGATTCCCAGTGACTCCAGCACTTCTCGGTTGGAAGAATGGTAACAGCTACCCAAGTAAAGGAAGGGTAGGATCTCCACCGGTCCATCCTGAAAAGAGAAGAACCAAGAAGACAATGTTCAACTTTGGGGGTTCATCAATTAGACAGAACAGCATAGCTTGATGGATGTCCACTAAGTCTTGCATCCAGTTAACAGAATAACAGCATTGGAAGGGACCTTGGAGATCTTCTAGTCCAACCCTCTGCTTGAGGTTTCTTGAAGACCTCCAGTGTTGGAGCACCCATAACTTCTAAAGTAGAAGTCTTCAAACTTGGCAACTTTAAGACTTGTGGACTTCAATTCCCAGGATTCTCCAGCCATTCCACCGATTGACTGTTCTCACTGTCAGGAAATTTCTCCTTAATTCTAGGAAATTCTTATTCCTCCTTTTATTCCCTCCTATGGCTAATGTTGAAGCAAAACTTAAAATGCAAGTAAGTTTGTTCTCTAGATATCTGGGTCTTACTTCCAAATAGAAAGGCAGAGGTTTAATACAAATGAAGCCCACTGTTGAATGAGGCGTGAATGTAATGTGGCGTGAAAAACTCTGAGCGTATAAACTGTTGCAAATCACATTCAGTTTTCCATCATTGGCCAGTCAGCAGAATGAGAAGTAACTTCCAAATGTCAGGAGGAGAAAGAAGCGTCTCTGTCGAAGACTTCTGGGTTAAATTGCATTAATTCATTAACAGGAGATGTAATTATAGAATGGATGACAGCTGAGAATTAAAGGGACTTTAGGACTATTTTGGCTCTGGTATAACCTGCAATTAAGCCACCAAGGAGGAAACATGAAGAGACAAATCTTCATACCCCCCCCCCTTCGTTATCTCCAAGACATTCCTGCCCGGAGATGGTTGCAATAGGCCATTAAAACATAATTAATTGATTTAGAAAATGATTATGTGACAGCTAAAATCCAAGCTCAGCTCCGAGCCTTAAGGAAAGGCTGGATGAATAAAGGGAAATGCAGCTCTTCTCCCATGTCAGTTGCAATCATTTCACCAAAGGATTACTCACTCAACAAAGTCTAGACAGTTTAATTAAAGCAGGCCAGAAGATTAATTAAAAAAAAAACATATATATTTGGCTTGGGGAATTACAGGTGTGTCAGTAGGTCTGTAGCTGCTTCTTATCCGTTTCGCTCTACACTTTTCCCTGGTCCAGGAACTTACCTGGTCATACAAGGGTGTCACCACTTCTGTGCCATTGTCTTCAGGGCTTCTCAAGGCCGGGGAAGGCGCCAACGTAGGTGGTGCCACCGCACACAATTCTGGGAAGTTGGCTTGGAAGTGTTCAAAGCCACCTAGATGAGAGAGATTGGAAGGAAGTGGGCTGTTGAGTTGGGAGACAGGAGATAATAGCTACCTTTCCAAACTATTTCCGTCTGGACGGGGAAACCTGGTTAAGCAGCAAGCAGGACATCCTTTGCCCACGCCTAAAAGCAGCGTTTCCCAACTCTGGCAGTTTTCTGAAGAGGTGGACCTCAACTCCCAGAATTCCCAAGTCGTCTGGGGAATTCTCCAGCCCGCTGGGGAATTTTGGGAATGGGGAATCCACCCCTCGGAAAAGCTGCTAAGGCTGAGAAAGGCCACTTAAGAACATCTGCTGGAAGAAGCCTTTATCCTTAATTTTATTTTAATATTTCTATTCTGCCTAAAAAAATATATATTTTTTTTACAAATAACTCAAGCCAGAGAATATATCCAACACACAACTTCCTCCTCCTAGTTTCCCCACAAGAACAACTATGTTGTGGGTTGGGCTGAGAGAGAGAGAGAGGGATCAGCCCAAAGTCAAGTCCAAAGAGCCTTGGTAGTACAGTGGTCTAAGGCACCCTGTTATTAAGCTGGTTATTAAGACCAGCTGCCTGCAATTACTGCAGGTTCGAATCTCGCCAGGCTCAAGGTCGACTCAGCCTTCCATCCTTTCTAAGGTAGGTTAAATGAGGACCCAGTTTGTGGGGGCAATAAGCTGACTTTGTATAAATATACAAAAAGGATGAAGGCTATTGCTTAGCGCATTGTAAGCCGCCCTGAGTCTCTGGGGAAGGGCGGCATATAAATCAAATTAAAAAAAATAATAATAATGACTCACATCTGCCAGTGGAAAGGACTCAAAGCAGACAAGGGACATTTTTAGTTCAGAGTATAATTTTATGCGCTTCGGTGGTAACAAGGAGAAGCCACGGCTAATATTTGCGAAGTGATCTGATTGAGGAGATGCTAAACCATGTTTGGATAGTCCAAGATTGCTAACATGGGCTGTTTTTCATTTGGCCTAAGCATTGAGGCATGACCGAGGGAGGACCAAGTGAGGAAGCAAGAGCCAAAATCTCGCAGGAAGATCCAGACACAAAGGATGTCATTGACACCTATGCTTGACTGTGGAAAGAAATAATTGCAGATGTGCCAAACTATAGATTTTGGGGCCATCAAACCGGGCGCCCATCCAGTTTAATTCCTACTACAAGATTCCCAGCTGGAATCTCCTTGGAAGTCAGAATGAAACCTGGCCCTGATGTTCCACTTTGCCCGAGATTGGGCATTCGTGCCTTTTGAATGAGATGCCACACAATCCAAAAATGCATTTATGATGGGCAGGTCATGAACAAGTCGCCCATCACCCCAAAGGAAGAGGTTGCAAGTTGGGGTGATGGAGTATCCATCATACCATGAGAATGGTTGACATCTTGACTTTTTTGACCATGCTCCTGGGATCATCCTGATAATATTATGCTTTAGTTCTGTAAAGATTTTCTCTTACAGAAGGGAGAGGCCAAGACTTCTATCACCAATCCTCAGCAGATGCTCCCCGTTCTGTCTTTCCTTGAAGGCATCTTTTGAGTTCACAGAACCTGCCCTACTAGCCTAAAATAGACAGTTGGGTATTTCGAGGGTCAGATGGTGAGGAACCAACCATCCTCCAGCACCATACTGTGCCCAGGAAGTGGAACGGTGTCTAGGCATGACATGAACCCGTGGTACAATGTGTGGGTTGACCCTGGTTTAGGATGTAATGTGTGAATCCAGATTGTATAAAGCAAAGATAGCTTGCTTGCTTATTGATTGATTGACTGACTGACTGACTTACTTACTAACTTATTAACTTATTTATTTACTAACTTATTTATTTATTTATTTATTTACTTACTAACTTACTTACTAACTTACTAGCTTACTAGCTTACTAACTTACTTACTTACTTACTTATTTATTTATTTATTTATTTATTTATTTTGCCGCCCCTTCACACATGGTGACCCAAAGCAGTTTACAGAATATAAAACCTCATGTAAACCTCATAAAAAAACCTCATATAAAACGGTAAAACTAATAAAAGAAGAGCCATCTAATAAATTCATATAATAAAAATCACCCCAGTAAATTGTGTTGTATGTGTGTTGTGTTGTGTTGTGTGTGTGTGTAGGAACTCCAGGCCGGCTTCTTACCTTGCCAGCTGGATGCAGACCCCCATCTCTTTGCCTTGTGTGTAAAAGGAGAGCATATAATAAATCTCTTTTGCCTTCCCTCTCCACCCCCGTTGAGTTGTGTTGTGTTGTGTTGTGTTGTGTTGTGTGTGTGTGTAGGAACTCCAGGCCGGTTTTACCTTGCAGTCTGGGTGCAGACCCCATCGCTTCGCCTTCCCTCTGCCCCAGCCCTAGGCATTGTGTGTTGTGTTGTGTTGTGTGTGTGTGTTGTGTGTGTGTTGTGTTGTTGTTGTTGTGTGTGTTGTGTTGTTTGTGTATGTGTGTAGGAACTCCAGGCTGGCTTCTTACCTTGCCAGCTGGATGCAGACCCCCATCTCTTTGCCTTCCCTCTGCCCCCAGCCCTAGGCTTTGTGTGTGTGTGTGTGTGTGTGTGTGCTTGTGTGGGCTTCTTACCTTCCCAGCCGGGTGCGGACCCCGTCCTTTCGCCCTGCCTCTTCCCCCAGCCCTACGCTTCGTGTGGGTCTGTCGGTGTGTTTGTGTGTTTGCGCGTTGCGTTTCTTACCTGCCAGCAGGTAGATGTGCGACGTGCCGGCCCGCTCCTCCCGCAGCAGCGCGTTGAGCAGCAGCCTGGCCAGGCTGTCCGGCCGCAGAGCCGAGACGGAGCCGCCGGTTTCGTCCAGCACCACCAGGTGAGCCAGCTCGCCTTTCCGGAGCCGAGCCAGGAGAGCCCGATCCGGCACCAGCCACTCCAAGCTGACGCCGCTCCGGCCCCGCGATCTCCGCCGCAGCAGCCCGTTCCAGTGCACCGGCCGGGCGTCCAGCAGGTGAGCCTGGCAGTAAGCCAGGAACGGCCGGCAGTCCAGCACCACCGTGCGCCCGCTTTCCTGCGGGTCCCTCAACAACCGAGCCAAGCCGGAGCTGTCCAGCGGCACCACCACCTCGATCACCATCCTGGCCGGTGGGAAACAACCCTTGGGGGGGCTTACAACGGCTCGGAATGCCCGGTTCCCACGACGATTCCCCCAACACGCGAGCCCAGGGATCGCTCTTCCTCGCTTCTGCCTCGCTGCCGGCCGGGAGGGAGCTTAAATCTGCTTGCAAGCCCCGCCTGGGCTGCCCATATATGGAAGTGTGCGTCATCAGGAACTCCCTACCTGGGCCACGCCCCTCCCTCCCTCCTCCTGTGGGGCTGGGAGGGGGCTGGCCAGGAGCCTCCGAATGTCCTCCCTGTGCAGAAACTCACACGTGCGCTGCGCCTCTCTTCCTCACCCAGGGATAGGAGTGGTGGGGTGGCATGATGGAAACAACCCAACTATGTGGGTAGCCTCCCTCCAAAAACGGCTCACTGGGTGGGTGGGTGTGGGGAAGAAGGCCCCGCAGAAGGGCTAACCCTACCGCCCACCCACCCACCCCGAGAATGAAATATTTGGGGGAAATATTAAAAGAGGCAGAATAGTACATTTCCCCCCGAAAGAGAAGTGGAGAGAAAAATCTCAACCCAGGCAGAAAGCAGCCCCCTCGACAACCTCCAGCAGATGCCTGAAGAGATGGAGATTTTGGTGCCCATTAAGAAATCCAGGCTGGGGGATTCTGGGAGTTGGGGGGTCCACGGGTCTTGGAGTTGCCAAGTTTGACAAAAGAAAGGAAAGAAAGAAAAAGAACGAGAACGAGAAAGAGGAAAAAAGAAAGAAAGAAAGAGAAAGAAAGAAAGAAAGAAAGAAAGAAAGTTAAAGAAAAAGAAAGAAAGGAAGGAAGGAAGGAAGGAAGAAAGAGAAAGAAAGAAAGAAAGAAAGAAAGAAAGAAGGAAGGAAGGAAAGAAAGAAAGAAAGAAAGAAAGAAAGAAAGAAAGAAAGAAAGAAAGAAAGAAAGAAAGAAAGAAAGAAAGAAAGAAAGAAAGAAAAAGAAAATCCAGGCCAGCCACAAACAAAACACCTTCAGGTCCAGTTAATGGGATTAGGAATATACATCCCCCCCCCCCCCCCCCCAAATATTAAAAAAAGGACTAACCATTTGGACAAAATAGGATTAACCCACCGCAATTAGAATAGCAAAGGACACAAAACACTACATTGCACAACCCCCTGGGAGCATTTCACACACATTTCACACAAAAACCCAAAGAATGTATCCCTCCTATCCCAACCCCATTTGGTCAGCTGTCCCAGAACTACATGCTATGGTTGCTTCTGCTCATTGATAAACAGAGTCCTTCTTTCCAATCGACCTCCGTTTTAATTCCAGTGTCTTTTTCCGCCGGCTTGGAACCGGACTGGATTTTTCTTCTAACAGCCTGTCCTGCTGACACTTGAATCCATCCATCTGGACGTGCGAAGGGCTTGATGGAGATGCACCTGGAAAGGGAATAAGGGGGGGGGGGGGGTGATGTTTTCGGGGGGGGGGGCCTTTGAAGGAAGAACTACAAACACGTCTGAATTGGGTTTCCCACAGGTTGTTAATAAAAAAAAAAACTTAGGTGAAACTGAGATTGTAGTAAGATTCTTGATCGAGAGTATCGGCCTGTGGCATACCCAGCATTTTCCAAAAAACAGTTTTCCCTTGATAGAGGGGGGCGCGGGGTAATTTATACTTGGGCATTTGGGTTACGAATTGGCTGGATCCAATTTCTAGTGGACAAGCGAAATGCTCTTTCACGGTGATTTTCCTAAATGATTTTAGCATCATTTTCAATCTGGAAAACCCCCATTCCTATACAGTCCTTATCTGAGCTCTCTTTCAAAAGGAAAAAAAAAACCAAATTATTCTAAAACAGACCCAGTTTAAGGACCATCCGAGGGCTAAATTCCCTTATAACAAAGATTTGTGGTTTCAAGTTGGAGCTAAATTCTGTTTCTTCCTCCTCATCCCGGGCTCCAGTTCCTTGCCCCAAGAAGCCCCCTCCCCATCCCATCCAGGACAATGAGCATTAAGTGGAGAAAGCAAGAAGGTGAGCTACTATTAACCTTGGTTAGATTTGTGGGGAGTTGTGCGAATCCTGCCTGAATTATTCTGCTCCCTTGGATTTTGTAAATCCAGGTTAATTCAGTACCCAGGTGAAACAGGTGAACAGAGGCCAGGTATTTTTTTGGCCTTTGCTGCATTAAAGGAGAGTCAACTTTACACAGGTGTTAAAATACAAGCTTGGTAATCAAGGATAATCTGCACCAAAAATATAAGGATTTTGCACTCAGAATGCCAGAGCATATTTCTTCCATGCATTCCGAGCTCCTTATTTTTGTGGCTCTTATTTCATGTAAATTCTTGACGGTCCCAACTTATGTGATGGATGTGATGTGTGTGAGAGAGAATCAGTTTTCTCATTTTTCACATTAACAGCCATTGAGAAAGAAATCAGGGGAGGGAGGGAGGAAGGAAGGTAGGATTTTAAAAACAGGAAAAAGAAAGGAAAGAAAGAAGAGAGAGGGAGGGAGGAAGGGAGGAAGGATTTTAAAAACAAAGGAAAAGGAAAGGGAAAAGATAGAAGAGGGAGGGAGAGGGAGGAAGGCAGGAAGGAAGGATTTTAAAAACAAAGGAGAGGAAATAAAGACAAGAGGAAGGGAAGGAAGGAAGAAACGAACGAAGGAAAGATTTTAAAAACAAAGGAAAAAAGGAAAGAAAGACAGGAAGGGAAGGGAAGGGGGAAGGGAAGGAAGGAAGGAAGGAAGGAAGGAAGGCAGGAAGGAAGGAGGAAGGAAGGAAGGAAGGAAGGAAGGAAGGAAGGAAGGAAGGAAGGAAGGAAAAGAAATTTAAGATTTTCTTGGTTCTCCTCCCTTTAGCCGCATTGTCCAGCCTGATATTTATGCTGAATTTTGTACTGTACTGAGCCCACTTGACTGATTTATTTTGCGGTAGGCAGCAATCAAAGAATATTTGAAACAAATAAAATGACCGTCAAGCTGATTTGGAGAAAGGAATGAGAGAGCCATTAAGGGAGGAAAGAGGGAGTTTTTAAACATTCATTTAATTTGTACGCCTGCTGCCTCACTATCTTAAAAAGATGTTAAGGAGGGACTTACAAAAAAAATAAATAAAAAAATAAAAAAATCTTGGTCCCGAGAAAGAGGGAGAGGTGTGAAAGAAACTCAAAAAAATCCCTGCCTTGATGTTCTTCAGTATAAGATGCGAAAGGAAGAAACCAGGATAATAAAGTCTCAAGGTTCTCTTATTCTACCTTACTCCAAAGGAGACCATTGCTGGAAGAGCATTTCGTAGCTTGGATTACCTCACAGGGCTGACATTGTGTCAGCATTTTCTAAATTTAAGGCATTGTGGGTTTTTTCCCCTCACGTGGGCCATCGGCCTGCTGTTTTGGGACATGTCCAGAAGTTGTGGTGGAGGTTCTCAAGAAGAGACTGGGCAGCCATTTTGTCTGGAATCTCCTGCCTGAGTAGGGGGTTGGACTAGAAGACCTCTAAGGTCCCCTCCAACCGATTCTATATTCTATGGACGGGGCCTTTACGCAGAAAAGAGAAGCTGGCACGTGGGCTCAGCCTGGCTTGGCACCAGCAGGTGGCACTACAGGCACTGAGCTATCCAAAGGCCGGGCAAGGGATCAGCTTAATGCAAGAAAGAAAGAAAGAAAGAAAGAAAGAAAGAAAGAAAGAAAGAAAGAAAGAAAGAAAGAAAGAAAGAAAGAAAGAAAGAAAGAAAGGAAGAAAGAAAGAAAGAAAGAAAGAAAGAAAGCAGGTGGCACTACAGGCACTGAGCCATCCAAAGGCCGGGCAAGGGATCAGCTTAATGCAAGAAAGAAAGAAAGAAAGAAAGAAAGAAAGGGAAGGAAGGAAGAAAGAAAGAAAGAAAGAAAGAAAGGGAAGGAAGGAAGAAAAAAAGAAAGAAAGAAAGAAAGAAAGGGAAGGAAGGAAGGAAGAAAAAAAGAAAGAAAGAAAGAAAGAAAGAAAAAGGAAGGAAGGAAGAAAAAAGAAAGAAAGAAAAGAAGAAAGGGAAGGAAGGAAGAAAAAAAGAAAGAAAGAAAGAAAGAAAGAAAGAAAGAAAGAAAGAAAGAAAGAAGGTGGCACTACAGGCACTGAGCCATCCAAAGGCCCCGGCAAGGGATCAGCTTAATGCAAGATGAAATTCCATTGAGAGCATCCAAGATTATTTCGTATTTGCAAAGATATACTGTATGTAGATGAGGCTTCCTTGACAGATTCTGGAGAGTTTACAGGTCTTTTTTTAAAAAATACGATAAGACCTTTCAACAAAACGGTGATTTATTGCACTCAACGTTGTACGCCATGGGTCCTCCATCTCAACGTTCCTACAGAAGGTCACTTCGGAATGAAAGTGCCTTCAGGATGAATAAAATGGGGAGGGGGATGACAATTTTGGGGGTCACCCTCTTCCATAATGCTACTGAAAGTTGAGCTTTTAGGTTCCTCTTCTCCTATCTCCTGGAGGGTGGACATTGGCGGGTTCTGGTGGCATCAAATGATCTTCTTGAAGAACCAACTCATGTAGGATTTTATAGGGGAGCATCAGCCCCTTAAATTGGGGCCCCCAAATTCAGCTTCCACAAGGTAGAGGGGATTCTACAAGAGTCACCTTCAAGGGTTGTCTTACGTAGAATAAATGGCAGTTGTCCACCCGGGAGCTGAGAAGAATGTGAGTCACGTTATGAGTTTCTATTATGTGTTGAAACAAAGAGCCTATTTGGATGGATGAGGAAAACTTTGCATCACTACACATGGCACCTACTCCTGCGCTCCTTACTCCCAGTGGGGCTGGGTTAACACAAACCACTTCATGTCAGGCGCAAAGGATCAGGACCGTACATTCAGTTGCTGCTCAAAAGGTTTATTGCTCAAGCAATAAATATACAAGAAGCGACCTTCTGAAAAGTAAAGGCGACGGGGAAATCAGACTCAACAATCGTGATCATCTCAGGGGCTGCCCCAAAGAAGAGGGGGTCAAGCTATTCTCCAAAGCACCTGAAGGCAGGACAAGAAACAACGGATGGAAACTCATCCAGGAGAGAAGCAACCTGGAATTAAGGAGAAAATTTCCTGACAGTGAGAACAATTAATCAGTGGAACAACTTGCCACTAG